TTAAGAGGCCATGAAGCCAAAAGCTTCAGTATCATTTGCCTGTCCATTCCAGGTCACTGGGACAGGTCAAAGAGCAGTGCCCTTGCCTCCCCTCTGTGCTCTTCTGCATGCCTTACCTGTCCTTAATGGACCTGGAGAAAGGACAAGGTGAATAGGAGAAGAAGAAGAAAGAAAATAAAGCATGTTAAGGCAGAAACAGACACAAACAGATAAACATTACCATTGTGACCTGGGAATCCGAGCCCAGGAACAGGCACTGAGTGAAAACAGGTATTGCTAAGTCTCTTAAAGGAATCATGTTTCCCCTGGTGTTGTTGCTTAGCATAGCCTCTTTGGAGCAGGCTTGTCCAGGGGTAGGATGCAAAGGCTTCTTCCCCCCTGCCTTCATCTGGAGCTGCAAAAAGAACTGCAAGAATAACATGGTTTTAGTCTCCTCCTCAGGAGATGTTAGAAACTTCTTCCTCCTCTTCCAGAGCCCCTGCCCCATCCTGCAAACCCCTATGGGGGGGAAAAAGGGGGAAGGAAGGAAACAAAATAAAACAAAACCCCACCACACACACACACTATAATTCTAATTAATAGGACGCTACAGCTAGATTTTCAAAGAAGCGAAGAGCTGAATTTGCAAACACTTGCCACAGGATAGTTCAAGCACTAAAAAGCACAGCAGTCTTGTAAATCCAGGCATTTAGGTTTAGCACTTAGCTGATTGCTTTTGAAAATCTGTCCCTCCTCCCCACGCCTTGTGGGCTTTAAGCTCTTAAAGCAATTAAAGGCATCCACGCATCTGTCAGCGTCAATGTAGTAAACACTAACATGCAACGAACTCGCACAAAGCCCTCGCACAGCCCGTGTGCCGAGATCTCGCGCTGCGTTATGCAGAAGGCCGGTGCATGGCACAAGCTCCCCCCTGCACTGGGGACTGGACTGCCAAAGCCTCGTTAGCCATTAAACAGCAGCACTTGGAGCACCCCAGAGGAGGTGCCCACGAGGAGCTGACTGTTCCCCAGCCCTAGTCCTACCTCACGGGCCATCCCATCGGCCTCACAGACGCAGCAGCAGCGAGGCTACGGGAGCAGGGCGATCCGCAGGGTGCTCCAGTCGCTTCCTTGCAAAGACGCTCTCTGAGCACGCTACAAACCCGTACATACGTATATAATCAGGCCAACACGCTCAGCACCATTTTCGTTGCCCTCCACTGCCCTGATGGTCAGGCTAGTACTCAAAACTGGCTTTTAACATCCGTTCTTCTAAAATACACTTTCCCAGGACAAAACCCTACTCTCTTCCATACCCAAAACTGAAGCACATCCCAGTTACAGCATTAAAACCACCTCCTGGAAGAAGCAAAAGCCAGAGGCTCCAAGTCATTGGCGCTCTACACTTTCCACAGGTACAGACCAAGGACAGTCAACCTTTTAAAATCCAGAGCCTAAGAATCTGCTGAAATTCCTCTCAACACACTCACTTTTCTCCAAGCGACAGCAATCTACCCCAGGACTGCTGCTAAATCAGTCCAAAGCCACCAGTCAGTTTTAGGCTTGCTTTCCCCCTTCCACTCCTCACTGCAAACCACCCTGCGCACTTTGCTCCCCTCCGCAGCATCCTACCACACTTCTACTGCGCCTTCCCCACGGCTCCCTAGCAACAAAACCACAATCCCATCCCTTCTCCAACAGGACCAAAAAACTTCACTTGGAAGCTAGAATACCTCCAATAAGCAGAAATGTTGCCAAAGAGCAGCAAGCCAGAGCACAGCACCATCGGTTCTTCCTTAGCAATATGTTCTCCCAGCCCTTATAGGCTCTTGCTTCTATTAAGTATGATGACTTTCTCCTGTGCACCTTTAGGACACTTAATTAATTCAGCTGCCTCTCACTGTGCCCCCTACACCTGTGGAAGATCAATGGGCTTAACTCCCAGCTTGCTGACAGTAAATAGGGTCCCAGTGCTGGTTTTGCACAGCGTACTCAACTCCCTGAAGCTCCCTGTACTCCTACCAAGGTGTGCAACATGGATGGAACGGCTGAGAATCAGGGTTTAAAGAAACTCAGCCCATTCCGCTCAAATCTTTCAGTTAGCGTTACAACAATAAAGACATAATGCAGCAGAAAAATCTGCACAAAGAAATACAAATCCAAGAAGCAACTGAGGAAACAGTTTATTGGAAGAAAAAACAAAAAAAATAAGCTGTGAAAGTGAGGCTCAGTGACTGGCATTACCATGACAAATTGACCCTTCTGATGCAGAGAGAGGGGCAGTTGAGCATCTACTGAGATTTCTTAAAGACCTTAAAGAATTTAGGAAAGCAAGTCCCCAAGCAGATAAGAGCCAGCTGGTTTTAGTTTTGAAGAGAGTGTTCACCCCCACCTCACTCTGAAGCACCTTGACACCTGCTCACCTTATCAAGCAGTTTACCACCTGATATCTGAATGAGGGGAAAAATAGATATGAAACAGGGCTCTGTGCACCGTCTTGCATGAATGAAGAAAGCTTGTTCAAGTTTCTCGGCCTTACACTTGTTTGAATCTGGTTTTTCATGCACTGCTTAGATTTTTAATGAACAGTAGCTGCTCCCACAACCAATCTCTGCTGGCATTATCTTTTTTACCATTACAGGAGGAAATTGTGTATTGGGTCATCTTTATTCTGCCCTCCCTGAACCAAATCACTAGACAAAGCAGGACAATCCTGCTAGGATCCTGGGGGAGAAAAAACGTCAAAGGAAGAAAAAGAGACACTGTACACTGCAGAGCAGGCACCGGTACACGGAAACCTCCCTGCCCATTCATGCCCCAGTTTCCTGACCACTTTCTCACCACCATTCATCATCTTATCTTTCTTCACATTCCAAACACTCCTGCTTCATATCTTCATTCCCCAGTGTGGTGCTTTCAAAAACGAGCGTGGAAACCCTAAAGCAGGCACACGAGGCTTTTATGTAAGCACAAGACCAATCTGTCTCCATTATCCCAATGCTGTACCTGTCCCTACTGTATTCACCAAGCTTGCTAGCTGCAGCTTGTTCTACCAAAATCTTCTTAAGCTCTGGGGGCCGTAAAACACATACTTCATTGTGCACAGCCATAGTTTGTCCATCCTACAACATAAGAAAGCAATGTTGAAATCGTGCACTTGGTTCAAGCAACTTCAGACAATTGTTTTTCCTTTCAGACATGTTTATACCACCTTCGTTAAGGCTGGAATAGTTTTTTTCCTGTCCATTATTTAATAAAAATGAGCTTCTGATTCTATTAAAGAATCAATTTTAAACTTATACATTAAGATGATTTTATCTTTTTTTTTTTTTTGCGTTCTCTTTCTTAACTGTCAAGAACATCGCTAAAAAGAAAATGCTGCAGCATCTAAAAGGAAATTCTATTTTAGGTCTGAAAATTCTTCAACTTTTTCATGTTTTTATGATTTTTCCCTAAGTTTTTTATTGGTCTTTTTTGGGTTGGTGGTTTGGTTTTGGTTTTTTTGCTTGCTGCATTTGAGACACTATCTCTTCTGCTAAGAGATGCTTGGCATCTGCCTGGATTTTGCCAAGTCACAGGCTCATACTTCCTCTCCACTTTACCGCTAACATCAGCCCTTGTCCAAAGGGGGCTGCTTTATCTACGCATGCAATTAGAGGCTCTGCGCTCAGTTTTAGGCATCTCAGAAACGGGAAGTACAGGCTCTGTAACAATTGGCAGTGTCAGTTTTCTGATAATTCTTATCAAGCCTAGGAGTGCAACAAGTTTGTAGCACGGTTCCAGACATCAGAAGTGAGAGGTGCATATCAAAAATAGCAAAATGCAAAACAGACTCTCAGCTGGTGAAGTGCTCAGATTTGTCAGGTACAAAAAAATCCTTTATAAAAGGGAGACACAGGTTGTTATTTCCGATCATTCCGTTAAAGATTCTGTTGCCGTTTCAAAATTCCACCACATATCCAGTTAATCGTTATGACTGCAACACGGCCATCTACCAGACACTGGATGGAAGGAGCAGGAAGTTTAGCGCCTAAATTTAGCTGCAGTTCAGCAGATCAAGCCTAAATTCCCTGTACGGTCAAAGGCAAAAGCAAGCATATCGAAAGGAGACAATAAAACAATTCAAAGTATCTAGATATTTAGATTAATAAACTGCACCTTAAGTATGGCAAAAATGGTATCAACATGTCTAGTGCTCCAATACTGAAAACAGCATCCAGTTTTCCAGCATATTCACACCTACTAGAAGAGAAGAAAGTTTTGCCAGTTGGATACAAACAGTGAGAATGGAAGTGATACTGTGCAATAAAATATCCATACACCAAAAGTTCATAGAAATCCCACTTTTAATCATGGACAAATTTACTTTCAAGTAAAATTAACAGTTTTAAATAAAATATAAATTAACAAATCAGAGTACTCAGGAACAAATAAGAGACACTGTGCATGTCTACTCTAGCAGAACAAAAGCCTAGGCATATTCCAGTTCTCTTCACCTTACTGGAGTTCCAGGGCGAGCTCTGAATGATTACGAAACAGAAATAAAGGATTAAAAAGTAGTGACTTTTGCCACTATGAGGATATAGCTTCCAAGACAAAAAGGGAAACTGTCACAAATAAACAAAACTGATTTAAGCAGTTTTGTGGAAGCACAGCATTGGGTGCAATAAATTTTTCTTCTCCATCACAGTACTTATCCCAGAATATAAAATCAGGTTAAGCTGTCCTAAAAGGTTGTTTTCTTACTGCTTTTGAAAACCCTGCACTTCCTTTTCTTTGACTGAGGAGACTCAGAATTGAGAATTCAAGTGATATCAATCCTGGAATCTGGAAAAGAAAATAAAACCAGTCCTCATTCATCCTAGCTAACAGGATTTCACAATCTCACCCAAAGGATGAGAATTCACACTCATTCTCTTACCACACATAGCTTAAGCTGACGCTCATTTACTGACGAGTCTTTGCTCGTCCCATTACACACCAAAGTGCAATATTAAAAAAAAAAAAAAAAAGTAATTTTTGGCAGATATTGTCTAATGAAACTAAGCCACGTTGACCCCATTTTCCCATGTTTCCAAAGCCTAGCTGTATTACACGCTCTAGGCAATCTGCTTCTTCAATGGTTTAAAAGGGACAAAAAGGAAGAACCCTGAGGCAAAAATGGCTTTTTGAGTAGCAAGTCCAATAAAAGCTCTCCATCACAGCATCTCATAAGGGTCCTGCGATCTTCTGTGGTGGAAGGCCTTCCTCGATCCATAGGGAAGTAGAAGAGCTGTTACGCAACATTCGCCTGTGGATCCGTCTGAGCCTTAGCAGGTAAAGCAGGATGGAGAGCAGCACGATCAGAAAACAGACAAAAAACAAATAGTGATTGTAAACAAAGGAGAAGCTCCTCCAGTGGGAGTGACTTCCACGAAAGTTTTCTTGCTGGATGTCTCTGAAAAGAATCAAAGGGATAACAGATGTAAGTTGCAAGTCAAACTTTGCCTCCAAACTATCTTACCACAGGAAGCAGAGCCCCTTTTAGTAGAATAGTCTTTATAAAGCATTGCTTGAGCTACCTGAAATACGTACTGAGATTATATATAATGCACTAGAAACAATATCTTGTCTCCCCCTATCTGTCAGCTGCTTTGCTATCACCATACTTCTTCCCCTCATAAAACTCCCATACCTTCCACCCAAACGCTCTTTCCAGACATTTGAGAAATCAACCGGTACCTTAAAGGTAAAAACCGTGTTCGGTAAAGAATGGCTCCCAAGGTCCATTGCACCTCTTTATCATAAACCTGCAGAGCTGTTTTCAAATTGCTGTAACTCACAGGAAAAGAGAAGCCACTGTGAAATACTTCGTACATCCAGGCAGACTTAAAACACTGGTACCTATAGAAAAAGAGTGGCATGAAGTCAGGCCAGCAGTCACACAGTCCCAGAGGACTGGGGAGCATGTTTAGACACATAATTATCCGTACTTTTTTATGGCTGATGCAATATTTAAGGTTATATTCACACTTCCAACGATTTCATTAAATGGATCATTTGGACATGACCTCTCCCTGGCAACTCTGCATGAATGAATTTGCTGTACAAACACAAATACTTACTTCAATCTGTGGAGATCAGCATGTGATGCATAAAGACCACGGTCAAAACGTTCCCGTAGGACAGACCACTTAGTGGCACAATAATCCTTTAAGGAGAAAAAAAAAAAAAAAAAAAAAAAAAAAGAAAAAACCCCACACTTCACATTGCTTCTGCCTTGAGGGAAAAAAAAAAGATACCACTAGATAAGATGCTCTGTACATACCGAAAGCTAGAAAACTCCAGCCCCCTTAGTGGCAAAAAAAACCTTTAAGGAAAAAAAAAAAAAAAAAAAAAAAAAAGAAGGAAAAACACACTTCACATTGCTTCTGCCTTGAGGGAAAAAAAAAAGATACCACTAGATAAGATGCTCTGTACATACCGAAAGCTAGAAAACTCAAAAATAATGGCTTCCCTTGCACTGCTAATAAGTCAAACCACAAATTTAATGGTATTTTCTGTAACATTTTGAACCATACTTGGCATTTGTGGTTAAATTAGTATTCAGTAGCACCTAAACTCTTTGGTCATGTACTTGGAGATGAAAAATAGACTACTTTTAGGGCACTGACAAAGCAGGTCATATTGCTCTACTTTACATTGTAGCCTTACTTTAAACCGTCCCCAACAGATTGCTCCCTGTTAGGAGCAACACCTGAGAAACTGGTACAAAATGCATAAAGCAAGAAGAAAAGGAATTTTTTCTAACGACAACTAAGACACTCCTAAAAAGAAGCAAGGGGTGGAAGCAGCATGGATTTCCCCATTATCAGCAGTTCTGCTGGAACTTGACTACCATGAGTCCCGTTCCCTCTAGAGTCAATTTTACTATTGTGCCTAAAACAAGTATTCCAAAAGAAAACCCAATGAGGAAAAGAGATGCCCTGTGATAGTTCATTGCAGGGTAAAAGTATTTTGGATCTTTAAAGGAAGAGTTTTGTTGCAAGACTTTCAGAACAAAATGCTTCTGGAGAGTAGTTGTTTCAAATTAGAAAAAGTTTCTCTCGAGAACACTTTACCTTTGCGGCTTTAGTAAATTTAGCAGCATTGTAATCTCCTCCCATGCGTAACACGTCCTCGGTGCAGTAGTAGAACTCTGAGAAGCCATAGAATTCACTGTTCTGAAAGTGCACAGCAGGCTGATAGACACCATTAAGAGATGTCTGCGTTTCATTAGTCTTATTCATCAACGGTTGAATAATTTCACGACACAGATTAAAATCTCCTGTTCCCCGCAAATACATTATCTGTCCGTTCTGCTGGATCTCATCCTGAGCGTCCAGGGGCAGGCAAGGATCTAGGCAGGGTGAAGCAGAAGTCATGCCAGTCTGTTTGCCCAGCAGTCTGTATAAAGGAGCAAGCACAGTAAAAACTGCATATTCAGAAACATTGAGCTCTCTGAGCTACAACAGCATCAAAGCAAAGCATCCTCATTTAAAGAAACTTCAGCGTCGCATGTGGCACGCTGTAGGAATTAAGTTTTACATCAGGATACTTTACTAAATATATTCAAGTTAAGGGGTTACTGAGCCTAGCGACGCACAGAACCCATACCCCCAAGCAACTGCAGCCAGCTACCTGTTTTTAAGCACTGTACTGGTAAATAAACTGTCTTCATATCTCTGGCGTGCTGCATTTCCCCCAAAGCCAAGGAACGTTGCAACGTAGACTCTATACACGTGCTCAGTTTGATGAGCATCACAGCCCAAGTTGAATTCTGCAAGTAAGTTTTTGGCTACTTCCTCCTGTAGGAACACAAGCACCAAGATTAGGTATAAACAATACAAACCAGAACCTAAAGATGAGTTCTTTGGACAACTGGATGCCCTTGACATCTTTAAACTTCACTCCTTACTCATTTAGTTTGCTTTTCACAGGTCCACGTTACCTTCTATTCCATAGGGAGAGCAAAGCATATGGATTGCAGAGAACTGCATTATCACTACTGATACTCAAGGAACTGTAAAGGCCAGGAACTGCTACTACGGATGGTAAAGTATCTTTTCCTATGAAAAAGCATGCGCTGTGGCTACTAATCTCAGCGCCACCATTTCTGACCGAGTCCCCATACTACTGAATGCTAGGCTAGGCAGATTCATGGTCTGCCCAGCAGAGCTGTTCTTCGTTTTCCAGTCTGGAGTTCTCAAGCTTCTCAAGAGACCTGTCAGTCACTCGGCTCTCCTCACATACCACCCATCAGTCACTTGCAGTAGCTTTTCAGATATTTAAGAGCTGTGTAGCAGAAGCACTTCATATAGAACAGGCTCAGAAATGTAGCGTAACATTGCATGGCTTCCAACTGACGTTGTAAGAGAAAAACAGCAGTAGGACTGTAAGCGTCACAGTCTGTTTGACTCTCTTGTCGTTCTCTGTCTGGGACCCTGGACAGGTTCCGTGACCAGAATACCTATTTTATATCAACTTCTGTTCAGATAGAGCCATACAACAGTCATCATAACAATTGGCTGCAACTCTTCCTATTTCCAACTTGTATCTGACTGGGGCAACCTGCTCTGAATCTAAACGCCCGTACTTTTGTTTAACAGCCCAAACTATTTGTTACACCATCTGTCTGAAACACCATGTAGTTACTAAAACCTGCGATAATGAAACGCCATCATTTCACAGGACGATTTAAAAAAAAAAATATCGACATCATTCTAACAGTGCATTGAGAGTCAAAACATAGGGCTTTTATGCTATTCTTACTCTAGGTAATTTCTCAACGACGTTAACGGGAAGTTATCCAACTTCAAAAATTCAGGAATCACTCTAGAACTCAGTGGATTGAAGTTAGAGCAATTTATGTTCCATTTAAGACTTGTACCAAAGAAATTTGCTTCCTACAACAGATGAACTGTGCTGAGGACGTAGGTGATATTTAAACAAACTGTACTGTTAGCCCCGTGTCCTGCTAATTCAGTTTCTACCAACCTAACTTAAAGGACAAAGCCATATTTTATGTAAGTTCTTATATAAGAATCACCACACAACTTTTGGTTTCTAAACTCCAGAACAGAGTCTCTTAAGTATAACAAATTTAAAAATTGTATATACATACATGCACACACACAAAGAATGCATGCCCACTTAAACTTAAAAATTAGTGGCAAATTATACTAATTGAAATAAACGTTTGAATGAACAAAATACAGATGAATTGCTTAGCTGATGAAGGACTTGTATTTGCCATCTTCTCTTGCCTTGGTTTTGGCATGTGATGTAATGAAGAATAGGACTTAAAACAAAGAAAACAAAACAACAAATATGCATTAAAATAAACCAAAAGGAAAAGAAGAAAGTTGCACAGATAATAACCTGCTGCGAAGAGGCAAAGCTTACAGTTTTAGGGACTTCGTATGCTATCTGAGTCGACACTCCGCCCATGTCGAGAATACCCACTGTCCTTTTACGAAAGATGGCCTCTTTGTTTTCACTGCCTGGGACATGCACCTCCACAATCGCTTCATCCTCTGGATAAAACAACGAGAAGGCATTGAGAAATACAACTAGGGCGGGCCTAAAGCGGTGCTACACTACTTCTAGTTAACGTATCTTTTGTAGCAATGCAGATCATTGAAATTTCACATAAAAATTAAACCAACATCAGCATCTGCACACGCACTATTCACTAACATCTCTATCTAAAAACAAACCATCAGCAGTGAAAGCCCGGGAACGTACTCGAAGTCCTTCCTAAAATCCAATACACAATTAAGATACTTACCATCATCTGTATGCTCAAATCTTCCAAGAACAAAGTTGATGCCAATCCATGCATATACTCCTACATGCATAAGAAAACATATTTCAGGAATACCTGGTACATATCATCTTAAAAACAAAGAGGGATTTTTTGCATATGAGTTATTAAGATATATCACTGCTCGTATTTAATTACAGAAAATACTTAGAAGTTAAACATTCCTGACAAGTTATTCTATTCCTTCTCTCCCAAGTCAAGGCTATGATAAAAATCCTAATTCCATGTATTAAAGACAGTCTGATGTGTAAGTTTCAGAAAAAGTAAGCACGTTAGCTTTCAAAATTATTTTAAGCCTCTAGTGAGCTGATCACATCAAAACATGGCTCCTCTAGGAACCATTTGTCCCTGGGAAGTTTCTTCCATCAAGAATGTTGTGCCTTATCCTTACCCCTCCCCAAAGCCAGAGAAAATGGACTAAAATTCCTGCTAAACACAGATAAGTTATTTTCACTGCCAATTAGAAAACATTTAGACAAGTTAGAAGATCACAGCAGATGATCATCTCCACACTCCATATGTTGCTACTGAGGAACGAGGTCTCTCAACTAAACCAGAATTTTAAAAAGCAACAAAAAAAAAAATTACCCAAGTTGTACCGTGAAAGTAATAAAAATTTCAAAGATAATTTTTCCAATGCTAACCCACCTTCCTGTTTGCCTGAAATAACCTCTGCATGCGAGTCCGAAAACAGAAAATCAAAATGCACAGGGATATCAGTGAGCAGATCTTCAAGTATTGCCTTCTGCTGGCTGCAAAATTACATTTTGAACAGTTAAAAATAGTCAAGACACAGGATTGCTATTCTAAATGCTAAAAATAAGACAGCCAATAACCTTTCTGGCAGAATCCTCATTCCTGCAGTACACAGAATATAAAGAGGAGTCTCTTTGTGTTTTGCACGTGGCACATGTTCGGCAGCAAAGCTCAGAAGTGGAGAAATATAATCGCTGACCTTTTCAGGGGAGCTGGCAAACTCCGAAATGCCTAGTGAAACAGACAAATGTGAAAGTGAAGCAACTCAAGCTTTGGTTATCAAGATTTTCCAGGAAATACCCAACACACAGAAGAGAAACGAACAACCCAAAGCCAAACCCAGGAAGTCAACTACAGAAATAAGAAACTAAGAATGAAGGTAACACTTAATCATCCTCCAAACACTAAACAAAAACCTGTATTAGGTATATTACCTATTTATATAATTGGTTCAAATAGCTTTACAGAAAGCCAGTTATTTATTCACTAAATAAACAGATCCAAGTTAACTGACAACTGAACCGGCAACTGTCTTAGCCTACAGAGAAACCTCCCCCTCCTGCCCATCAGTGTCATGTTTCAAGCTTTAAAGCTGAACAAAGCTCTCTGCAAACCAAACCCAAAGAAATCTGGAGGAGTGCCATGCTGACAACTTGCAAGTGTCCTTTACCCAGACACTTCAAATATGGGGTTTCAAAAAGCAAAGTTAGGATAGGCAACTATCTAGAAAATTGCATCTAAAGTTAATTTCTTTCCAGTACCTGGTTTAATTTTCATAACCACTGGTTTTCTGTTTTTGTCTCTCATCTGTTTGATGTCCAACAGATCATGTGGATTACCATTGTGCCTTGGCCAACAATACACAAAAATCCTAGAGCCGCTGCTGCCACAGTCCACAACGATTCCATAGTTCAGATTGGGGTTGTTTGTATCTGTAGCTTCAGTATCAGTTACTCGGGCAAGATATCTAAAAGAAAACGAGGCATTACTACGTGGCAAATAAGTTCCATATATTTTTCCCAACATCAGACTCAAAACAGGACAACAGTTTCCATTGTAGGAATCACACAGTTTTCGCTATTGTACTGCTGGGGAAGAAAAAAAGTGAAGTGCCATCCATAAGAACCAAATTCCCAGAATAAACACCAGAAGTGATTTCCAAAATAATTTATTACGCAATATTTTTGCACGTATAGTTTTACTGAGCTGCTACAGGTACATCAAATAAGGTACTAGAAAGCTGAATTATTGATAAATTAAAATAAACTTAGATAAGGAAAGCTTCATATAAAAAGCAGGAAGTTTTACTCATACTTTTTCCCTTTCTGTCTTTTTACAGACACAACCTGTCAGTGTTTTCTCTCTCACACCAAAACTACATTTCATTCCTTTCCACAAAAGTCTTTTCAGCTCTCACCTGTGGAATCTTTTGTCCCTGTATGCACGCCCATACTTATTGCGGATGACTACCAGAGAGTAGTAAAGCAAAGAGACGGCAGCAGCAAGTATTCCTATCACAACGATCTGCCGCAAAGTGGTGTTGAGAATACGTGGACATCCCACTGGAGAGATGCTGAAGTGCCAAGAAGCAGGAAGCAAACACGAGATGCTGATCCTAAAATTCAAAGAGGATAATCTGCTTTCAAAATGGACTTTATTACCAAAAAGAAGCACAAATGCATTCCGAAACACGCTAGGGACAAACAGATTCTTCATAAAACTTTTCGCTTTGCTGTGCTCTAGCTTTGCTTTGATCATGTTCTGGCTTGAGTGTAGTCAAGACACTATTCCCACCTTTGAATTCATGATTAGGTTCCCTGTCCTTCACTCAAAAGGCATCACAATTTAATTTGACAGTTCCTTTGGGATTCTTACCTCCCCATTTTGGGATATGACCAGCAGAGAGAAAGACCAGCTGGTGTTCAAACATCAGCCAGTCACCTCAGACTGACAAGGCACATCAACCATCCTCAAAGCCATTGCTCTTCTCTTCCTGAATTAAAAAGAAAACATAGACAGCGTTACAAAAAGCATTGCCAGCAGGTCGAAGGAAGTGATCCTTCCCCTCTACTCAGCACTGGTGAGGCCACATCTGGGGTGCTGGGTCCAGCCTGGGGCCCCCCAGGACAAGAAATACACAGAGCAAGGTCAGTGTAGGGCCACAGAGATGATGAAGGTACTGAAGCATCTCTCACATGACAAGAGGCTGAGAAAGCGGGGCCTGTTTTGACTGGAGAGGAGATGGCTCTCATCAATGCATATAGATATCTGGCTGGAGAATGTAAAGAACGAAGCAGACTC